AATGATTTTACTGGGTCATTTTAAAAACAATCAAATCACAACTGTTGGGTAGGATGAGGGGGTCCCAAAAATTTAGCTTAAAGCCCCAAATTTACCCCATTAGAGTCTCCACTCTACCAGCAGCATTTTGAAAATTCAAAGCCATCATTTGGGGAAGGGGGTAACCCAAAGCCCTCTCTGATCTTTCACCTAGCATAAAATGAGGCTCACAGGTCTCTTTCTTTGACCCTCATGTGGGAGAAGGTGTGGGGAGGAAGACGGGAGGGGGGGAGGGAATGCACACAGGAGCACAAGTCAAAACAAAAAAGTAAAAACAGTTACTCACAATCATCTAAGTCATCCTGCAAATCCACAAAATACAAAGGGATCCCTACAAACAAAAACAAGAGAGAGAGAGAGACACGGGGGGTTGGTTTCACACGGCTCGCTGGAGAGCGGCGAGACAGAGCACGACAGAGCCACGCACGAGCGGACAGGGCGCTTTGGCCTCGGCCCCCCGCGCACCCCAACACACACGCACACCCCCCACACGGAGCAGGACGGAGAGGAGCGAGAGCCGCTTACCAGCCATCTTGGAATGGACATGGGAACCCGGGGAGGGGGGCAGAGGGCGGAGCCGTCTGCGCTGCCTGACCCCGGCTGAACCCTTACCCCCCACACTCCCAATGTAATACAAAATGCTGCCCGGGGGACAGCTGCCCCCCCTAGGCGCTCAGCTGCCCTCAGGGGACCCAGAAAAATTACAGCCTTGCAAAAAGTGTGCCCCTGAAGGAAGGGGGGGTGGTCAGGTGACTCCAATGGGCTGCCCAAGATGGCGTCTGGTGTGTGGCGCCTGAGAAGAGGCGGCTACCTGTAAGCTGTGCTTGGAGGGGAGTTGGCCGGCCGTCTTTGTCTCCTCTGGAGAGCTCGCTGCCCGGGTGGGGCTATGGTGGTGCTGAGCTGCGCCTCTGGTTCTCTTTAAGGCAACAGCCTCCCTGGCCATGGCTCTGAGGGAGCTGAAAGTTTGCTTGCTGGGGGTAAGTGACCTTCCTCGGTGTACCTGGGCTGAAAGGGAAGGGGTGTCTGCTGGAGAGTCCTCCCTCTCCCCGGTGGTCTTGATGAACAGGAGGCAAGGACGGGGAGGGGAGATTTCTCTGCCTGCCTGCTGGAGGGATTTGGTCGTGAGAGCCCTTACAGGCGAGGGGAGGGCTCTAAAGGTGTTCTCTCGTGGAGGGAGGTTATTTTTGATCTTTTCCAGTGTGTTGATTTCGGTAGCATCTGTCCCTGAGACGCCAGAGCAGCTAGCGAAGCCTTTCTGGCTAGGAAGAATGTTCGTTGTCCGTGTTTGAGACACGCAGAAACACAGCCCTTTTTTTTTCCAAGGCGCTTCTATTAAAAATGATCCTGTGTTGAAATTGCTCTGCTCCCATACACCTCTTACGCTGCCTAAGGCTTTGATCATGTGGGTAATATTTAGCTCTGGCACTTATGTAGCTGGATATCAGACCCGTAGTGCCATTTTTCAGGCATCAAAATCGCTCCCCAAACACTAGATAATGGATGAAGACTTAAAAACAAACGTGGGTCTGACTTTATAGCTTGTGTAGAAACCAAATCCAGCTGAAATCAATTGAAGCTTTTCCTGGATTCACTCTACTTGAACAGAATTTGACAGGTCAAACCATGTATTTCCTGGTTCTAAATAATCATGTATCTTCTCCCTGGAAAATGTGTATATAGTCTTTTTATATCTGGTATTGGGGGTCAGGGTGTAGTTTGCATTACTGCTTACTAAATAGGTTATCCTTTGTTTACATCAAACTTTACCTGTGAAATCTTTGTGGAGTGGGAGAAGCAGGAGGAAGAGACACTTCCCCTTCTAAACACCTCATCTCAGAAACTTATTTACTTGCATTCCCCCTTTCTCTTCTTTGTAACTTGTATTGTTGTCTGTTAAATACACTATTTTTGTCACATATATTTTAGTATTTTTTTAATTCCCTTCTCCTCTCCCAAAAAGAGAACCCTCAAGAGGATCAGTACAAACTTATCTCTTTTTCTGAAGAAGTGGGTTGTACCCATGAAAGCTTATCTATATGTTTTATTAGTCTTTAAGGTGCTGCTAGACTATTTGTCGTTTTTCCAGTTACAGACTAACTCGGCTACCCTTCTGAAGCTTTACATTTTGTACTAATTAATACTGTAATCCCGACTGCAAACACTGCAAAAAATGTTTAAATGAAAGCAAGCTTGTTATAGTCAAACATTTCTCAACATTAGGTTTGGTAAACTATCTTTCTCAAAAGGTTAAATTTGGGGGTGTACATTACTTGATTCTGTAAGCTGAAGATTTTAAAGTAGTTCAGCTATGTTAACTACATTGCCATCTGAAATGTGTTTAAAAGGCATGTGAGCAATCAGACATCTTAACTTAGTGCTGCAAGAAGATGCAACTTGAAGCATGCCTTTTGTTTCTTTAAAGCTTGAGCTGTCCCAGTTATTACTCAACGCACACACAACCTGGTATTCAATTTCTGAGGGTGCTTGGAACTATTTTAAACCTTGGTTTGTCACCTTTTGAAGTAATTTTCCTCCTCCTTTGCTCCATCTGCAGCTGTGAGATAAAAAATATGTTCGTTTCAGGTATGTCACAGAAGATGTTTAAGGTCTTTCATTAAATAGGGTGAGACTCAATGACTCAGAGGCTGAAATATTTCTAATGCTTGCAATAGTGTGACACCCTTGCTCTGCCTGTATGTATTAATTACTTTATTCAGCTACACATGTACACTTTAACAGTTGAAGCAGCAGCTCTTTTTCCCCTGGACAAACATCCCTAATTCTGTTTCAAGAGACAGACATTATAACTTTTTGTTATCTTATACAAAATTATGAAAGTATCGGTTTTGGAAGACTGTATCTTTTACAGAGCTACCTCCTATTTTCAACATAATTATTTTGTGGCCCTTTATTTTTTTCAATTTTTCTGCACTGAAATATTTGTTATTATTAAGACCCTGATCCTAAAAGAAGTTCCCCTTATCTGGACCCCTGTTGACTTCAGTGATGTTCTTTAAGGGAACTTGGCTCATTCTTTCCATAAGGAACTTGTTGCAGGATTGCTGTCTATACATGCCCAAGTGTTTATTGTGGCCAAATTCTCACTGGTGTAACCGCTCCTTTCTTTTTTCTTTTTTTTTTCAGGACACTGGTGTAGGCAAATCAAGTATTGTGTGGCGATTTGTAGAAGACAGCTTTGACCCTAACATCAACCCGACCATAGGGTAAGAAGTATAAAATTTATTTGAATTATAACAAAGCTAGAGGAACAATATCCTTTAATCTCTAAGGCTATGTCTACACTCGCGGCTTCTTGGGTGAGTAATATGCAAATGAGGCTAAGCGTGGAATATCGCCAAGCTTCATTTGCATACCTAATGAGCCACTTTTATTTCAGAAGAGGCTCTTGCGCAAGAAGGAGCATCTACACTGCCCCTTCTTGTGCAAGGAAAACCCTCTCGCGCAATGCCGTTCTTCCTGAAAAGTAATAGGTGTAACAGCATTGCGCAAGTGGGTTTTTCTTGTGCAAGAAGGGGCAGTGTAGATGCTCCTTCTTGCGCAAGAGCCTCTTCTGAAATAAAAGTGGCTCATTAGGTATGCAAATGAAGCTTGGCGATATTCCACGCTTAGCCTCATTTGCATATTACTCGCGCAAGAAGCCGCGAGTGTAAACATACTTTATACAGAGTAGGAGAAGTTGGGTAAAGTGGCTAAATCTATCCAAATTATATTTCAAAACAAGACAAAAACTTGTACTAAATGCTGAAGTGAGGGTTAGGAACTCCTGAATTAAGTCTTTGCACTGCCACTGACTTGAGGTGAAGCCTTAAGTCAATCAGTTGGGACTTGACTTTCAAAATTGCATGTAGTGTAAACTGCATGCAAATCACCAATTACATACATAACCCTCGATTTGTATACACAGATACATGATTCTGAATACTCAGTACAACTAATGCACGTGGAAATAATGTAGTTTTGAAAATCTTTCCCTTAAGTGTCTGAAAGTGTCACTGTAATGACTGATCTTTAAGGCTAAGGTTTTGTCATGGACATTTTTAGCAAAAGTGACAGGTCACAGGCAATAAAAGAAAAATTCACTGAAGACTGTGACCTCCCCCTGACTATTTTTACTAAAAAATCCATGATTATAAAATAGGAAAGGGCTGGATATCTGCAGGGTACCTGGGAGCTCTGGGACCCCCTCTGCCAGTGGGGTTTTTTCTTGCTCGCTCCTGGTTGGCAAGGGTACCTCACAGCTCTCTGCTGCTACTGTGGTAGGTGATGTGATCCTGTATCTCCCAACTGTGGGGGATGAAGTCACAGATTCTGTGGCCTCCATGACAAAATCATAGTCTTACTGATATTTCTAAATACCCTTAAAGATTGAAATATTGTGTTAATATTCTGGATTCCTGCAGTTTCAGTTTTTGTGTTGTAGAGGTTTACAATCTTGTCCTGTTTTGTATTAGTAATCTTAAAAAAAATCCTGTTAGGATTTCTGGATTATGAACAAGCAAGTACATTCTGCTGTTCGTGCACGCTTCCGTAACTGTTTCTCATGGATCAACAGAAGATCATAAATCTTGGTCCACTTTATACTGAGGCATCGTTCTTCGTTCTTCAAACTTCACAAATAACTGAGTACAGTAATAATCAGGCTGCTTGAGATTTTAAACTAATGTAAAAACAAAGATGCCTAGATTTTTCTAGAGTGGTTTAAATATTAACAATGATAAATACTTTTATCAACAGTAGCCTTTTTCTCTTTCCCAGTTCTTGTTTCATTAATTAGATTAAAATAAAATGCATATGCCCTTAACAAAATGGGTAAATACAAGAACACTTCCTCATAAAGATCAAAAGTGTTTCTTTATTTCTTTGAGAGATCTAATTTTCCTTTTTTATGTTTTAATTATGGTACAGAAATTTGGATTAAAGACATTGATACTCTTTAGAAATCCTGTTATTTTATTAAAAGCTATATGTAAGAACAGACATGTAGATCATTTGAGGTCAAAACTTAAGGGCTGAAAGTTCTTATCTGTTTGTTTAATCTGCAGCAGAGGTTCTTCACATAGTGGCTGTGAGCTTTCTGCCCTTTTTATGTTACAGGCAGTCCCCAAGTTACGCGGATCTGACTTATGTCGGATCCGCAGTTACGAACGGGGCTTTTCTCGCCCCGGAGGATGGGAGCGGCGGGACGCCCAGATGCGCCGCGGTCTGCCGCCCCCGTCCTCCGGGGCGAGAAAAGCTGCTCCCCGTCTCCCTGGTCTGCAGGGAGATGGGGAGCAAAGCCTTGGAGCACGCCAGCAGTGGGACAGCCGCGGTGCGCTTGGGCTGTCCTGCTGCGGGCGTGCTCCGCGGCTTTGCTCCCCGTCTCCCAGGTCAGCAGACCAGGGAGACGGAGCAAAGCCGTGGAGGACTTGGGCGGTCCCTCCGGGGCGAGAAAAGCTGCTCCCCGTCTCCCTGGTCTGCAGGGAGATGGGGAGCAAAGCCTTGGAGCACGCCAGCAGTGGGACAGCCGCGGTGCGCTTGGGCTGTCCTGCTGCGGGCGTGCTCCGCGGCTTTGCTCCCCGTCTCCCAGGTCAGCAGACCAGGGAGACGGAGCAAAGCCGTGGAGGACTTGGGCGGTCCCG